CGCAATGTATATATATATATCAATATGAATGAAACAAAACAAAAGCCTTATTATAACGTGTATTGTAACATGTGTATTTGTAATAATTGGTCGTGTTTCTCTACTATAATTTTCACTGCATCGAAGTTAGTCGCCTTGGAGGGGTCCTTTGCATAATTATCATTTGATTATGTCAAGCATCACTGCAGCTACCTACATACCAAAAATCACGACAATCCGTCAACTGGTTCTTGAGTTATCCTTCGAAAATTCCGTAGTCAAAGTAGTGACAACTGCAATACTTAATACATGAAATTGATGGCAGTTCAGCACCAAGGAGAAGTCCACTAAGGCCGCATAACACATGCACACAAACAAACAACTATTTGAGGCATTTGAAACATTTATTTCCACCACTAAACGTTTAGATGGCCCTTCCCGTGGTACCACATAAGTTAACCTTTTACAATCTTACGTTATACATGTATATATTTCCTCACATACTGTATTATATCCAATTGCCCTTGACCTCTGACCTCCAAAACATTAATTGCTATTATTATCTTGATTGAGTACTTTATTATGCTTGGTTGTATTTTATATTGATAACTGATTGATTTTAGCTTAATCTTTACTTGTTAGTTTACTGTATTAGTATGTTATTGTGTATGTTAATCTTTGTATTGTTTGGCGCCCGAAATCAGCTATGCTGCCTGGGTGGCCAGTGTATTGTATCGTCGCAATCGAATTAAATAAAATAAAATAAAATAAAGCATAACACATGTATTCATGGACGAACCCCTCAAAAGTAGTCCGGCACAAAGTAGTACTGCACAATACTAGAGAAAGGGGCAGAGATTGTTCTATGTGGTAAACGATAGAGGAATGTGTCAGTTTTGAGAATGTAAAAGTTTAATTATGGTGCGCGTTTAGTCGGCGTAGATTTGCGCTTGTATACTTGTAACGCCTAGTACTGTGCGTCGCGTCGGCTGCAGGTCCATTTTTTTTCTTACAATATTTTCAGCAAATGGTATAAAACAACACGCTTTTAATAGCAAAATTCCGTGCTAAAAGTCTTCGGGAAAACATTCCGGAGGTTTTGTAAAAGAAATGAGATACAATTTATATATAATATGTAACTTAGGCCACAGCAAGTAAATATTATGGATGACATCCGCGCGCGCACTAATTTTCGCCTGATGTTGAAAAAAAAAAAAGAAATTGTGTTGCCTTCTGACAGTGGTCAATATGCCGAAAATGGGCAAAGATGTCTGTTGCCATGCTGGAAGGTGGATGGCAGATGATGGTGGATGGCTATGAAGAGAGAAGACAAGAAAAGGCTTTGATTTGATGTTTTTTTTTTTTCTACTTTGATGCAGTGATATGTGATGCTGGCTGTGCATATGTGATGTTCCCACTGAATAAAAACCATTTGAACAATGATTGAGTTAGAATTTTAAAATGCAGGAACCTTGTTTTTTTCGGCCCGCCTTGTTTTTTTTTCGCCCGCTCGCATTAGTTTCGGAGTCTGAGGAGGATGTCATCCATAAAATTAACTTGCTGTGGCCTTATATATAATATTAAACATATTGTGAATGAAAAAATAAAGCCTTATTATACCGTATATTGTGACATACGTGTATTTGTAATAATTGGTCGTGTTTCTCTAGACTCTACTATAATTTTTACAAAGTCGAAGTGAGTCGCTTTGTGGGGTCCTTATAAGGCATAAACTGTTCTGCTACATTAAACCGATAATCAGGAGACACCATTTGACCCTTGACCTTATAATGCTGAGGCATCCTGCCAACCCCGCCCACACAAGTGGGCACGCCCATCAAACATGGCGGAGAGTTCCAACTCCGGGGCGAGTGGTTCGGGTACAGAAGCGGCCGGGGCGGCTCCGGACACCCCCGGGGGAGACCCACAGCCCCCGGGGGGTGTCGTTCCCAGCGCCATTTGTGCTCAGAAATATGATCTCGTTCCCGATATACTATTTCACCATTGATTTAGTCTCAGAAGGAGCTACTAGGGGGCCAAAAATGCTATTTTGTTTGAGCTGATAGGTCAAGAATTTTCGGATGGCCTGTACCAGGCTTCTGGAGGCGGCTGGAAAGAGTAGAAATCGGCCAAATAGAGAGATAACATGCCAGGGGAGTTGGTCCGCTATTAAGAGAGTACATTTTGCCGCAACGGTACTCTCTAGCAGACCAACTCCCGTGGTCCAACTTTACTCTTTCCCTCCGCCTCCAGAAGCCTGGTAGATGCTAGTTTTCGGCCCCCTAGCATCACAGGTACAAATGGAAATTTTGGATGGCACCCAAGAACGAAACCTCTGCTTGGAGAATAGTTCCTATTCCTGTTTATTCATTCTGGACGCGTACAATCCAACCCTGCTTGACACGCAGCCACTTCACAAAGGTTTAATACTTAGCGGGCAAGGTTCGCCCGACTTAGCCTCTACCACAGGCTTCGGGAGTCGGCTGGAAAGAGTAGAAATCGGCCAAAATAGAGGAGGGCCTGCAAGCCCTTTTTCGTAAGGCGTAATCAGGCCGTTTTAGACTTCGTAATTCGTAGGCAGCCTCCGCAAAAATCAACGTAATTCGTAATTGGACATTAGCCGCAAATCGTAAAGTCGTAATCAGCTCTGAGACTTTAACGGCGAAAATTTTGCGTAATTCGTAATCACTACCCCCCCCCCCCCCTTGTAGGCCCTCAGGTAACATGCCCGGGTGCGGCAAAATGTTCTCTCCCAGCAGACAAACTCCCCCGGCATGTTATCTCTCTATTTGGCCGATTTCTTTTCTTCCCAGCCGCCTCCTGAAGCCTGGAGAGGCTAGGCCCAACTTGAACCCCATCCAGCTAGAGGTCGGACCTTCCCTCCCACCCGGAAATGACGTCGACTTCCGGTCCGGCTGAAACGAAAACAACCCACGAGTCCATCAGCGTGTGACACTGATAGAATCCAGGCGCCCTTTCCTCGCTTGTTTACCGAGTGAACTTCACATCTGACTCACTGGGACCATCGGGTACTTTTGAGTGGTACGTATGCTAGATCAGATTATAACATTGTGGATTACCACTGTAGATGGAGACTACTGTCTGTTGCCAGCCATCATAACATATACGTACATAGAGGATTATTTTAAAACATGTGCAAAGATTGAGTGTAGCAAGTCGTTCGGTGTGATATAGCCGCGTGCCTGCGAAGCCGAAGGGAGGTTATACCGGCTATATTGATACAGAAGCAGGATAGAATTCAAAAGACGCGATGCAATTTTTAAATATCATGGATGCGAGTGGCCAGGGATGTCTGCAATGGCCTACATGCCCTTTCCACGCTTGTTGTCGACCCAGTAATGGATTATAAATAACTGCCTGGCCAATCTGATACTGGGTTTTTGCCAACGAGGGATCTGCTTGGAGATTAATAAAAACAGGCGATGTAACGTTATACTGGATGTGAGTGGCCCAGTGGGGGTTTCTTCATGTGCTGGTAACAATGCTTTTTTCTGCAGCTGTGCCACAGTTGTAGTGTATAATCTCCAAGCAGATCCCTCTCGGTGGCAAAAAGACAGTATCAAATTGGCCATGCAGTATCCATTAGCCAGAGAAGGTCGCCGGCCACCGACGGGGTGGGGGTCAGGACAAAAAAAAACGGCCATATATCCATAAAAATGTAACGATCATTCCCCCACAAGATCTGCTTGGAGAGTGTACAGAACTGTATAAAATGGAGGAGGGTCTGCATGTGTTTGTGTTGAAGATGGATCGGACCGGAGGGATATTACACCCCCCCCCTGCACTTGATCGCTTTGCGCGAAATTCAAGAAGTCAACCACGCAAGATGTCGGCCATGATTTAATCGATGATAAAGGGTCATTTATATGGGGTGGGATTGAGTTACCCAGGTCACGGCTGTAAGGGGGCCTGCATGGGGGGTCCCGAGAACGGGGGCCTGCATGGGGGGTCCCGAGAACGGGG